AAAAATAATTTCGTCTATATATATAAATTTACGTTAGGAGCGAAATATTTTAAACACTCATGTGTAATAATACCTCAATATTTAGAGAAGGTGAAGTAGTGTGGTTAGATGCAAAAAAGATATTAGATGAGACTATGCTCGCAAAATGTAACGAAATTAATGAAACTCCAATTAAATATTGGCCATCAGTTATTACTGAAATAATATCACCTCCAGGAAGTGAAAATTCTGAAAGTGAGTTTTACACAATAAAATTATTAATATTACGTGGCCAAAAGGAAGTTGATATAAATTCGATTCAACCTTGGCTCCTTTATAGACCTGAAATTTTGGGTATACGAAAAGCATCAAGAATTTCTTCCGATATAGATTTAGATAATCCGGAACCTGAACAAATTGCTGCTGCTTATATTAAAGCTGTGCGTAAAGCACGCGATATTGAAACTACTTATACTCCAATGTTTCAATATGATTATCATCGTCCTGATGATTTTCAAGGTCCAGACGAGGCAAAATCGAAACGTTTCGCTGAAATGGAAAAATATACTCATTTTAAAGCAATTTATTTTGGTGCTGAAATCTTATGTGAAGATGATATAGTACGATTAATTCCTAATAAGAATTCTCGAAATGAAAAAGGTTCTTTATTAAAAAGTAGAAATATTGATCGTAGATTATATTTACAAATTACTAGTATTTATAAACATCCAAAAAAAGGTATTCATTTAACAGGTGATATGTATAATCGTGGAAATTTATTAGAAAATAATAAATATCAGTGGTTTCCAGTGAATGAGGATGATGAAGAGTATAATATAGATTTATCTGAAGTTGCTGGACGATTTTATTCAATGTGGCCTGATCAAACAGAAATAATGCCTTGTAAAACTGCAAATATATTAGAAAAAAGGCAATCAATGACTGGTGAGGATGAATTGACTCTGACTACTGATTTTTGGTTATCTCTTAAATCTGATGAAATCAGCTCTGATGAGTCGACGAGTCAATCTGAATTATCCGATTTTTCAGATTCGACGCGACAAACCAGGAAAAGATCAATACCTTTTGATCATCCACCAGATGAATTACCTAAAAAACGCAAGATTGAATCTTCTAACCCTGAAATTAAATTTGAAACTTCAAACCCTGAAATCAAATCTGAAATTTCAAACCCTGAAATCAAACTTGAAACTTCAAACCCTGAAATCAAATTTGAAACTTCAATACCAACGTCATATATACCTGATACTGAGATTAATGATTATGCTTTAACCAATAAAGTTACTTCCGATACTTCCAGTTGTCTTGATACCATTTCTCCTAATACTCCAACCTTTGAAACCGATGAAGGCGAAACCGATGGAGACGAAACCGATGAATACGAAACCGGTGAAGACGAAACGGATAACGAAATAAAATATGAAGCTAACCAAATGTAAGTAGAACTGAAAGTTTATCAAATTCAGAAAATCGTCAAAAATCATGGTTCACGCTTTATGATATATCATAACTGTATGCTATAGAAAATTAACTATTGGTTATAACCAGAATTGGGTTATCAATTTTTCGATCACACTTTTATAAACAATTATCGTAAAGCTTAGCAAATTCACAAAGTTTCTGGAAAATATTTAATTAATTTAATAATTGTATACTGTATTAACTTTTTTTTTGATTATGCATGTTTCGTTTTCCTATATTATCCTACATATAAGATCGAACGATGAACATAGCTCATACAAATGCATACCGAATAACTCGATACAGTACAGTGCACCTATGATTTCTAAATCTAGATGCAGCCTCTGCTGACAAGAAGCGCATCAACCGTTTCATTCTGTAAATAAATATAATTAAGGATTGCATGATAAACATAAAATATCAAAAGCATCGATTTTTGTTAATAAGAAAGTAGAATAGATGGTTTTTAGGATAGTTTTAACTATCATTATTGATAATTGCGAACTATGATGAATTTGGAGGAATTATCTCCTAAATTGAAAAAAAAACTTGGCATTGAAACATTTCATTAATATATTTTTCATTTCACTTTTTTACTTATTTTATTATAATTTCAAATACGTGAACCATTCGAGGAAATCGAAATGGTTCACACAAACACGAAAAATAAAAATTTATAGATTTATTGCTTGTCTTAAGAAGACGCTATACACAAAAAACTATTAAGATCTGCAAGCATTTCTTGATTTAATATGCTGGTATTTGCGCGTAATAACGATAATGCCTATGGGTGTTATTTTGAATAATGGCCGGAATTAAGTTTAATTTAGGCTGAAATTCAAAATTAATTTTGTGCAATTTCTATTGTTTAAATCGTATCGGTAAGTTGTTAATGATACCGATAACAATAATTAATTTTTTTAGAATGCGATAGATAGTGATTAAAGTCGATTAAAGTGTATATAAAATGAATACATATAGTGTATATTTGATTAAATATTTAAATTTAATACAAATATAAATAATAAAAAAATGGCTTTTTTTTAATCAGTAGCGAGTTTAAGTTTTTATTATTAACTGATTTCATTTTCCAAAGAACATGTATATTAAGTAAAAGATTAATTAATTAAAATGCGGACATTTGGACTTTTTATAATTTATTTCATTATTTGAATGTTTATTTCAGATATGCCTATTATTTAGTATACGAGTTTTTTTCTTTTTTTCTTTATAAGGATTTGTCGTTTGCAAGTCGGGTTCCGTGAATTACCTGTTAAAAAAAGTAAATATCTATTTTTTTTTTGTTGATTAGCTTCTCTCAATGATAATTTACCTTCATTTCCAGATAGATATCCGGTTTCTCGAAATTCGGGTAAGCATTATTTTTATTTATATAATTTTCCTTTTGTTTCTTATGAACAAGGCCGGGGTTAGTATGTTTGCACAGGTTTTTTAAAAGCCTCAAGCTCTTTATACACGGTACCTCAGTCAAAGTGATGCAACCTAAAATTTTGCAAGTATTGGGATGGCATCGTTGCTCGACCCACAGTCACTACCAAACAAATTTGGTGGTGACTGTGAGATGAGCAACGACGTCATCCGATATTTATAAAAAGTGGATTTACAATTTGGAGCGAGTAGATTAGAATGGATTACAAGGACAAGAAATTCTAATTTTTGGAGAAATGTTATTTTCTAACTTGGGAGATATGCGATTCTATGCTTTATTACAAGGCAAAAATACTATCCTTTTATAATAAATTTTTAAAGAAAAATCGAAAGTTATTTGTTTAGCAATTTTTCATTCACTTCCCTTTTTTGGTTATCCGTTTCCTATCCTGCCTTTCTTTTCATGTAACCAATTTTAACTTTCCCACCTATTGACACATGAAAGAACTTTCACAACGACAAAGGCACGGCCACAAACTAATCTCTATTTGGTGATATTGCCTTGCGCCTTTTCAGGTAACGATTATTGACTATCGTTATTTCACTATAATTATTTTGCCTTTTAGGCTTCGATCCTATCGCTATGAAACAGGCTTGGATTCGGGTAAGTTTGGGCGGATCTCTTGCAGTATAGGTGAGACTATTAACGTTAATAAAAGTATAATTAATCGATTGATTTAGAATAGACCTATATTGCAAGAGATTCGTTCGGGCTTTGTACGCTCGTCGTAGTACAAGTTCTTGGAACATGGCGGTTTTACCCCTCAATTAGAATTTAAAATAGATATAATCTAATAACAAGTTCTAGAAAAACTAGATTTGCTGAACCATACATTTTTAAATCTAGAGTTCTTACAAAATATACGTTCACGAAGATTAATAGAAAACGAGGATTATGTTAAAATAATTCCGAAGGACACCCGATGTCATGTGTTAACAAATTCTGGATTTTAATTGGTTGTTCTTACCATAAATTCTCGAAATAACGCCTACAGGGTTGTTACTGGCCAGTGCATTTGGGCGGATTTGACTCCGATCACAAAAAATGTGATTATTGCAAAATCAACGCTGATTGGTTGATTATTTAACGAAATAGTAAATATAGGACTTTGTAAAAATAAACCTATACCTTTTTTTCTAAATATACATTTTGAATTTTCATATTCATATTCAACAAGATCCGGATTCATAGATCCAAAAATTTTTTTTTTCAGATTCGAAATTCCTACTAGTGACAATGCCAGTGAGTAGACCACATAAAAACATAGATTATATTCAATATGTGGTAAACATGGTCTTAAAGAAAGGTTTTACATATTAACACCAAATATTTTGTCCAAAGCTATGCAAAGCTAGCTGCTCTAAATTTGAAGGTTGAATAATCAACTTTGTCATAAACATTATACAGAGTTGGTAGTATTTGATAGAAATTTAAACCCAAATAAAAAACAAAAATACAAACTAAATTTAATATAAAAGGTTAATAAAAAGTATACAAATAGTGAAAATTCTAATAAACAATTCAATGCTAAAAATTATTACCAAAGCAGTATAGATATTTTTAAAGATGAGGAAAAGAAATTTGTATGATACTGTGAGTAAAAATTCTTATAAACAATTAAGCATTAGAAATTGTTACTGAAATAGCATAGATGTTCTTAAAGATAAGAAAAAAGTATTTAAGTAGTACTTGAAATCTGCTAAGAGTAGAAATCCTAGTGAATAATTAAATATTAAAAATTGCTACCAAAATAAGATACTGTAGGTGTTTTTAAAAACAAGAAAAAAGTAATTGAGTAATATTTAAAATCTAGAACTTCTAATAGAAAACCAAAATATTAAAACTGTTACTAATATGGAATAGATATTTCTAAAAATGAAAAAAAGTTTCTAAATACTGTAGTATTTTAAAATTTGTTAAAGATAAAAATTCGAATAGATAATCAAATATTAAAAATTGCTATCAACATAATATAGGAATTTTTAAAGATAAAAAAAAGATATTTAAATAAATTTGAAATCTTCTAATAGTGAAAATTTTAATAAATAAGAAAATATTAAATTATCTTATAGTCCAAATATACCTTTAAATAAAAAAAAATATTAAAAAGAAACTTTTTTTAAGTATGCAATCAATATCAAAGCAAAATAAGTAATTTGTTGCTTTTAAAAAAAAGTTTAAAAAAAAATTGTCAATATTAATTTTACAATATTAGTTAGTTACAAAAAATCAACAGTCTCTTGTTCATATATATAGTATTTAATTAAATATTAATAATAAAAATATTAATTTGAATTACTATTTACAGTCAGACCTCTCTAAATGCATAGTCTTGGGCAGCCAAAAAATCTTGTATTTAGAGAAGTATTGCATTTAGAGAGATAAAAATTTATAAGTATTATATGAGTTGGGGCCAAACAAGACTATGTATTTAGAGAGGCTATATATTTAGTGAAAATGCATTTAGAGAGGTTTAACTGTATTTAATAAAAAAATAAAACTTTTTAAATTAGATACTACTATATAAATATATAATAAATTCCTATTGTCTCATGATTAGTGATTTGAATTAGTTGGCCTATAATCAGTTAATCAACCCAAACCGAATAATTTCGGTTAACCGATTGAGAAAATTCTTAATCAGTTGACCCGATACATCCGGTTGAAATTTGAGTAATTGGTTGAGGAGAGAGTAAATGTTCTGAAAAGTTCCAAAAAGAGAATAAAAGATGAGCAATTTCTGAAGATAAAATGAAAAGTAGAGATAAGCAATCTTAGCCGGTTGACAACCGGCTGAATAAAATAATTTGGTTCGGTTAACCGATTAAAGAAATTTTTCTCAGTTCAAATCACTACTCATGATAGCTATTACTATTTGGCTACTATTAAACCTCAACTTGTTCAAGAATATTAAGTTGTAATATAAAGAATTGAAATAACCAATTAAATAAATAAAAAAATTAAAATTAGAACTTTTAATATTAATAAAATATTAAATAGACAATTAAAAATTAGAAATGATATCTATAGAGCAATTAAATCTATTTTGAACATTCTTGTTTTTATTTAGAAACAATCTTTATTGCCAACTCTTAGTTTAGAAAATACAATTGAGTTAAAACTTAAAGTGATGATTATATAGTAATATAGGTTGTAAGCAAAATTATATAATAGTAATACAGTTAGACCTCGTTATAGTCACCCTCAATATAATCACAACCTTGTTATAATCACACTATTTTTTTGATCTTGCTATTATAAAACTTATAAATTTTAACCTTTATATAGTTACGACTTTTATAATCACCAAAATTTTGTTTCCTAACCTGGTAATTATATCGAGATCTAACTGTAGTTTGTTTTTTAAATAAAAGTAAAAAGATTCTTAAACTAGATTATCAATATTGGCAAGTTTTATAAATTAATTTTAACTATTTATTAATTTTTTTTTTTTTTTTTAATATTAAAGGTAAGACTATGCTTTTATCTTTATTAAACTTAATAAAAACTTTTTATATAATTGAAAAAAATTTTATATTTTAAGTCTAGTACTAAGAATAAGAACTCAGACTAACTAAACACTTAGTAAAAACAAACCTAGTATTTTATCTGCAGTCTAAATCTATATTTATTAATTATTATAAAGTATACTAACTTAGAATAGTAGTAAAGTTGTTGTACTTTTAAGCTAGCTTGACTATAATACTATATTAAGTTCAAATTCTACTAGTAATAGTTTAAACAAAAATACTTATATTACAATATATAATAAATCTTTATCAATAAATTAGGTTTTATTACTTGTAACTTCAGTTATACCAATATATATACCTTGTATACTAGAAGACTTTGAAAATATTTATATATATTATATAGAGGAATGCAAACTAGTTTAAATAGTACAAACCTATAATAAGATTTTTAAAATTATATAAAATCAACAGAGAGAACTTAAAGATCTGAAACTAGCTTAGCAAGACCTAAGTAAAGAAGTAGTAAGGATCTTTAATAGTATTACAGAACATATCTAAATTGAACCAAAAAATTAGTAGAATTGGCTAACAAGATTCTATGATAAGAAAATCCATCAATCTAGTTACTAGAGTTATATTAAAAAAAAAAACATATACTCTAGAAGCATGTATCAAAAAAAAGAGACACAGAAAATATCTAAAAACTGAGAAAACTAACTTTGCTAAGCCAACTAGATTGGATGATTAAAGAAACCAAGAATATAAAACATAAAAGAAATAAAAAATAAGTACCAAAATCTAAATATCAAACTTTGCAAAAGCAATATATATATAATAAGTAACTATAAAGATAAATAACTTCTGAGTATATAAATAAAGCTATAGTGTAAATTATCAAAAATTCAAATAAATATCTATATAGAATATATCTATTTTAGCAGATTTAATATAGAGATAAATATCTTGCTAGTTTGAAAAAAAGACTAGATATTAGAGATTAAAGTTTCAAGTTTTAAAATGAAAAAATTAGATATAAATATTATAATATAAATATAAAGTTAAAGTGATTAAATAAATAATCTTATAGTAAATTACAGATATAGCTACTAGTATAAAACCTTAGAGCAAACTACTTAAATAGATAACCAAAAGCTATATATATAGCTAGTTATATTTTTATAATATAAATATAATATAGTTTAGTTTATACTAAGCATTATATTTAGTACTAATAAAATATATATTAAGAGTTTAAGTACTCATCTTAATATTTAAAAAAAAATAATAATAATAAAAAAATTATTATTATTATCCAGCAGCCTATTATGATTGTGCTGCCAAAATAAGTACTAGTTATTTGTTGTGTTTTGATTGATAACTGAATATTTACCAGGATATTTACTATAAAAAATTAGTCATCAATCGACTGATAACTAAGTTATTCAACATGTCTGACGTAAACATCGAATGATTTTTGTATAAGTTATTTGGCCACCCCCTAATATAAATATACAAATTTTCATCACCTCTTTAAGAAGTGATGAAAATTTGTGTATTTGTATATATTAGGGGAT